CTACTATGTATTTTCAACCTTTCCCTCTCTACTGGATTGACGGCAAATATGCCCAGATCCCCCTCATCCTGAAGAACCCCTTACATGATCCTTCCATTGTGCAATTAGATTGTAAGTTCCATGAGGGCAGGAACAGTCTTTTACCTGCACATACTAGGCACTTAATAAACGTTTATTAATTGATTACCAGCCCCATATCTCTTCTGCCCTTTGCAGCAAAACTCCTTAAAAAGGCTGTCTAGAATAGATGCTTCTACTTTCTCTCCTCTTCTGTTATCATACCACTGAATCTACTTTCTCAAAAGTTACCAATGATCTCTTAGTTGCCAAATCCAATGACCTTTTCCCAGTCCTCATTTTTCTTGACTTCTCTGTAGCCTTTCATGATCACCCTCTCCTATCTGATATTCTTTTCCCTAGGTTTTTGAGACACCATTCACCATTCTCCCTAGTTCTCCTCCCATCTGAATGTTCCTTCTCTATCTCTTTTGCTGTATCCACATCCAGGTCATGCCCTCTAATCCTAGTTGTCCCTCAGGGTCCTGTTTAGGACCTCTTCTTCCTCTATATTACCTCACTTGGTGATCTCATCGACTCCTATGGATTTAATTATCATCTTTATGCTGATGATTCAAATCTTCCTATCCTGTCCTAACCTCTTTGCTGACCTTGAATCCTGCATCTCCAACTGTCAGAAGTCTCAAGCTGAATGTCTGCTAGATATCTTAAACTAAACGTGTCCAAAACAGAACTTATCTTTCCCCCAATCCCTCTCTACTCCTACCTTCCCTACTACAACACTGTCTTAGATTCCCTTGCTTACAACAAAGAAGTCATCCTCAAGTCTTCACTCTCTCTTTCCCCCTATCCAATTTGTTGCCAAGGCCTGTCAATTTCCCCTTTGCAATATCTCTCCAATACATCTCCTTCTCTCCTATAACACCACCACCACTCTGGTGCAGGACCTCATCACCTCATACTTGAACGACTAGAATAGCCTGCTAGTGGGTCTGCCTGTTTTAAGTCTCTCTCCAATCCAATTCAGCTTTCGTTCAGCCACTAAAACGATTTTCCTAAAGCCTAAGTCTGACCATATAATACATTTCTCTCTCACCTCCTGACCTTCCCCCCACCCAAATAAAAAAAAATCTGGTGGCTCCCTATTGCCTTTAGGATCAAATACAAATACAAAATGCTCTGTTTGGCTAACCTCCCCCTACCTTTCTAGTCTTCTTATACTACATATTCTTTGATTCAGTGACACTGGGCTTCTGGCAGTCTGATTAACAAGAAACTCCATCTCTTGGCTCTAGGCACTTTCTCTGGCCATCCTCCATGCCTGGAACTGTCTTCAGCTGCACCTACTGACTTCTTTGGCTTCCTCTGAGTCTCAATTAAAATTCCTTTTTATGCAGCAAGCCTTTCCTAATCCCTCAATTCTAGTGTCTTTCCTCTGTTGATTATTTCTTATTTATGCTATGTTTGGCTTGTTTGCATGCATTAGATTTTGAGCTCCTCAAGAGAAGGGACTATCTTTTGCTTCTTTTTGTACCCCCAATGCTTAGCACATAATAGTCACTTAATAAATTTTCTACTGATTGAACTTGTGAAGAACTTTATTCCTATTATATTTTTTTCTTGTTACCTTTAATGAATTGTTCATTAAAAAAAAATTCCTGCTTCTGTCATTCATTTTACCTAGGCCCCCCAGCTTCATGTCAAGTGTAAGTTCCACTTATGTTATCATTTAAGTCAAAAAATAATTAAAAAAAAGAATTTGGCCAATAACAAAAACCTGTAGGATTCCACTAGATATTTCATCAACAACAATCCATGCATTAATCAACAGTTTCTGGATTTGGTTAACCACCTACAAACTCATTTATTATTCAGTCTGTCTATCTCTTTCTGTCTTGCTAACAAGAATACTGTGAGAGCCTTTGTCAAATCATATAAAAACATTCAAATATAATATGTCCATAGTATTCAACTGATAATGTTAAAAAATGGGAATCAAGCTAGTCTGGATTTAGTCTTGTTCTTAATTATAGTCATAATTAGTAAGTTTGGCTATTTCTATTCTTATTGTAAAACATTCAGAGAAGAAGACAGTTCCCTTTCATAAGTGCTCATATCCTTAAACCATTCTTCATTTGACATGAATTAAGGTAGGCTTCATTCAACCTGGTTACCCACCTGCAAATTCATTTGAATTTTGTCAAAGGCTCTTTTGAAACATGGAGTATAGAACTGAACAAAATTCTCCAAAGATGCTATGGTCTGCACAGATTACAGTACAATTATTATTCCTATCAAATTAAATACTATAAGCCTATCAATGCATCCTAAAATCACATTATCTTTATTGAAAGTTATGCTCCACTGTTGCCTTATATTGACACTAAGTCTTTTTCACATGGATTGCTATTAAGCTATATCTTCTACACTCCCTGGTCTCTAGTTGTATATTTGATTTAAACAAAACATCTGTGTGTAAGGCTTTACATTTTACTCTATTTAATATTATATTGCTAAACTGAACTCACTATTCTATCTTACAGAGATGTCTTTGGATCCTGATTCTGTCATCTATTATTTCCATTATCTTTTTTAGCTTTAGGTCATCAAAAAACTGAATAAACGTTCTCCTATAGCTCTATCACAGCCACTGATAACAGGATAGCGTCAAGGACAAAGCTCAGTACCATCACTGGAGACAGTGTCTCTTGCCAAAAATAACCTTATAAGGAAGCCTGTGTTGGTAGTACAATTGGATAGCAACTGCAATTACTGTATTTCACCACATAATTGTCACCACCACATAAATGTTGCAATCTCTTTTTCAATCCAAAAACTGGTTTATAACCTTTCATTGCATAATCATCTCATGGTACAATTCTGTTTGTCACATCACTTAAAAGATAAACAGAGCAGCAATGTATTTACCAGTGGCATATGGATACACATTTATTTTTCAAAAGTATTGTGACCTGAGAGCCTAGAACTCTCAGTGCATGACAATTCCAGGCATGGAGGATGGCCAGAAAAAATGCCTAGCAATAATACTAAATTTAAAAAAAATTTAGTATATTTCCTAAAGCCAACTTGTGTGGTTTGTTTAGAGCACTACAGTACTAACAGTACTGTCACTCAACCCAATGAAGAGCTGTAGGCACAAGGGGAGCAAGAACGCAGGTGAAGCTGCCATGAGTAAGTCACTGATACGGTAAGACTTGCATCTTCCCAATTTTAACATATATTCATGAGTATTCCATGCATCCTAATTTTGTACCAGAGAAGGCCTTCATTTGACAAAAATATGCATATATATGGAAAACCATGCTATACATATTTCCATCTAAAAGCTCCTTATCTGGAGGTAAACAGTATCCTCCTTCATAGGTCCTCCATAGTTGATTTGAGGACTTATAATACTCAAAATAACTTAATTGTTCATTCTTTGAATAATATAGCTGCTACCGAACACAATGTTCTACTGGTTCTGCTCATTTCACTCTTCTTTATTTCATTTAAGTTTTTCCATATTCTTCCAAAATCAACCAGCTCAACATTTCTTCACAGTAGTGCTGTAATCACAGTCACAATCATATACCACAACTTCTTCAGCCATTCTCTAACTGATGGACATCCCCTCAATTTCCAGTTCCCTGCCATCACAAAGAGAGCTGCCATAAATATTCTAGAACATAAAAGTTCTTCTTCCCTAATCACCTTAGGAAACAGACTCAACAGTGGTATTACTGGATCAAAGGGCACACACAGTTCCACAACTCCTTGGGCACAACTTCAGATTATTCTCCAAAATGGCTGGATCAGCCCCACATTTCCACCAGCTGTGCACCAGTGTTCCAATTCCTCCCCTCCAACACCTGTTCCTCCTCCATCATTCTGGCCAATCTGATAGGTGCGAGATGATAACTCAAAGCTGCTTCAATTTGAATTTCTCCAATCAACAATAACCTAGAACATTTTTCATTTGACTACATATAGCTTTGATTTCTTCATCAAAAAGCTGCCTGTTCATATCCTTTGACCATTTATCAATTGAGGAATGATGCATATTCTTATAAATTTGACAAAGTTCTCTATATATTTGAGAAATGAGACTTTTATCTAGCACAGAACAAAAGACAACTTAGAAGAAAGCATGGAAAAGCAGGTAATTTTGAAAATATATAGGAATGTAAACTGCTTAAACTAATCAATTCCTTTATGATTTCTCACTGTTTTTTGGCTTTTTCAGGATAGGAGAGGTAATAACTTTCTTCATCAAATAGGTATTATTACTTTTAAATTAGTATTTCTATGAATTGCAGACCTCACTAAGTTATAATCCAAGGATATATGCTTATTGTAAAACATTTTGTTTCAGAAAGACATGTTGACTTATAAATTACCATCTATTTTTTTTAAAGTTTAATGCATTTTTGTTTTTAATATCAAAATGATTTATTTATATGTCCTTTGACCACTCTCCTAGGCCTTCCCTTGTAATAAAAAAAAAAAGTCAAACATAATCAAACTTAAGATCTTGACATTATTTAACAGCAAAACATATTTTCTCAAAATCAGATGACTTTCAAAGTAATTGCAGAAATGTAAAGGCAAGTGTAAAATGCTAAACAATCCAGCTGAAACAGGGAGCTAATTATATTCACTCAACTAGAGCTAATTTAGGATAACTTGCAAATCTCCATGCGAAAGATTACTTAGAAGCAATTTGGAAAATCACTTAAATGGGGAAAAATCATTAAGACATCACCATTAACACAATCAAAAATATTATTTGTGTATTTAATGAAATCAACTCCTCAAATATGAATACAAATGACTAAGTTTCTTCATATATTCCAAAAATTCATGAAAACATTCATTTATTAAAAGAAATTAATTCTTTGATTGGGGGAAGATTGTTTATAAATGATGATAGTTTAAGCTGTTTTTTTCACTTATTAATATGTCATAATGTGGTCACTTACTTATTCCTACTAGCATGTAGGCCATTTTGAAATTGTCATAAATCCGACAAGCTCCTCTAACTCCACAATCGTTAAGGTCCCACAGTACACAAGAGCTGTCTATTGCAATGCCAAAGTACATCGGTCCAGGAATGGTGCCTATGAGCAATGCAGTTACATATGAAGAACCCATGAGAAAAGACTGCACATTAGGATCATGTTCTATTCACCATATTTAAATATATGCTCATATTTCCAGCATCCAATAAACATTATTTAACATTTTCATGCTGTTTCAGGGCAGCAGGAAGCATTGTATGTTGAAATACGTTAGCTCCTTAAGGTAGGGATTGTTAGATTTTTATGTCTGTCACCCAGCACCTAGCAGACTCCCTTGTATGAAATCAATAATTAATGAATTGAACTTTAAGGGAAGCTGGAAAAAAATTCTCTGTAGGCTTTCCCATTTAGTAAAAAGCCTTTTCATTTTAAGATAGTTTAAATGTAGTCTTGCCTACCAGTGGAGGTACTGGAAGATAAATTCTCAAAATTTATTTCATATTTATGATTCTGCGAATTCAGTTTGAGATCACTTACTTTGAGCAGACTACAAATAGATAAAGTAAAATATTTAGACAATAAAAACTTCAAAGTTCTGTGACACCACTAACATGGGTCTACTAGGTCTCAAACAATAAGTCAGACAGGTTAATAGCAACAGAGCACCAACATCTACCTGTTGAGCACTGTGTCAGTTTTGGGACCAAGGTGAGTGTGAGACTATTTTATTAAAAGATAATCTTAAGTGGATTTTCTGATAATAATTGTTATAATTTATATGGTCCTTGAGGTTTTTCAAAGCACTTTACATATGTTATCTCACTGGGTCCTCACCACAGGCCTTGTGAGGTAGGCACTATATTATCCTCCTCATTTGGCAGATGAGGAAACAGGCTGAGAAATACTGAATGCTTTGAGCAGAGTCAAACAGCAAATAAATACCTGGAGAAAGATTCAAACTCAGGTCTTCCCAGTTCCAAGTCCAGCATTCTATCCACTGTACACTTAACTACCTCAGTAATCTCTGAGAACAATCTCTGAGAAACATATAATCCAAGACAAAAGTATTAGCTACCTGGAAAATATCATCAGTCACTGTATGAGACAGCTGGATCAGAAATGTGACTGCATCGTATAATCCTCATTTGCTGTTTAAGGGCAGAAAACTATTTTGCCTTATTATTAGCTAATAGCATTTTTCTTCACATATCAATAAAATCCCAAATATTATATACCTAGAAAAGTCTTTTCATTTTTGTATAAGATTTATCATCATACAATGGGTCAGCTCTCCAAATGGGACAACTTTAAAGCTACCATACATATCAATAATACATTTCTTTTAGCATCCACACTAATGAGGAACATTTGATATTCCTGGCCTAAATCTCTGCATCCCACAGAGACTCCAAGGCACTGGTTTGTCTCAGGGCAGGTCTAAATCCAATGCAGATGCAAGTAAAGACAACACTCCACGATATCACTGGCCTTCTTTGAAAATGAAGGATGGACAACAACAATAACAAGACGCTCTCTAGTCTTGAGGTCATCCCCTACGCTTCCGAGGACCCTCGAGAGGGTGGGGCGATTCTGAGTACTATGAAGAATTCCAATGAATTTGAGGAAAGACTGAAGGCTGGGAGGTCTTGCCACAATCCCAAACTTTTAAATAATCTCAGAACCTGATATCTATCACAAAAGTAGAAATGTAACTATAGGTTTATACCTCGTCCTGTTGAAACATTCACAGTCCCCAGGTTCTCTGTTGACATGGAACACCCTAGAAATGAGATTTTCTGTATTTGTGTGTGTGTGTGTGTGTGTGTGTGTGTATGTTGTATGCACATGAACACACAAATATACATACACATGAAGATCTGCAGAGGAAACTCAATGGTTCTGTTCTAGTTTACAGAGGGGAGAAGAGACAGACAGATTCTGCCTAATTACCCAACCAACTACCTGTTGTCCATGGTATCAATACTGGGGCTATATACAGTTAGTTCAAGACGATTTAGTTAAAAGATACCCCTGTAGTACAGTTTCCTAACAGTCTCTGAGAGATTTCTTTAAAAATATTTTTATGTATTTCATTAAATATTTCTCAATTACATGTAAATATTTTAACACTTTTAAAAATTTTGAGTTCCAAATTCCCTTCCTCTCTTCCTGTCTCTCTCTATCTCCTTAAGAAGGTAACCAATTTACATTGATTGTACACATAAAGTCATGTAAAACATATTTCGACACTAGCCATGTTGCAAAAGAAAACACAAACAAAATAAAATAAAGAAAGTGAAAAAGTGTGCTTCAATCTGCATTTGGAGTTCATCAGTTCTGAGAGATTTTTTTAACCTGACAGAAAATGTTTCATTGAATAGATCTGTGACAAATATATCTTTGAAGAAAGTTCCACAGATTTTATTAAGCCAAGTTGTACATTTTTTCCCACAATGAGTCTATCAAGTACAATACTGTTGGAATTAGCGATTAAGTTTGTAATAGAATCTCACATTTCTGCACCTTTTGCTGGCAGAAGCTGTCTTTCTGAGAGAAGATGCCATTTGAGATACGCTAAAAATTTGGCACGTAACACAAAGGAGAGCAAGCTAAGGTGCATTAGCATAATTACTGGTTTAGCAACCTAAAGCAGTTTAACTGACATTTTCAAAATTACCTCTAGAATCTTAAAATTTTATTAATTTTTAAATATTAACCTTTACCTAAAAACAACTTAATATAAAGAAGCATCTTGGTGTAGTGGAGAGAGATTGGATTGAGAGTCAGGAGGCTAGAGTTCTATCTAGTCTTGGCTTTGCTGCTAACTAGCTGTATAATAGGAGTACTGAATGGAGTGGTGGAGGACCTGGGTTCATATCCTAGCTCTCTTACTGTGACCTTGGATAAGTCATTTGATCTCTTAGGCTTCACTTTCTTCAACAACAAAATCATAAAATTGGATTCAGTGACATCTAAGATCCTTAAGTAGCTCTAAATCTGTGATCAAATTACCTTGGGCAAATCACTTCATCTTGACCCATTTCCCTATTTGTAAAATGACATCCTCTGAGGTTTCTTCCAGCTCCTTCAATATTCTTTTATGTAAATAAAAAAAGAGGTTTTTGTTTGTAAAGCACTCTAGTTGAGTTAAAAAGAGATGTGAGAGACCTCAGTCCTACTAGAATAAACTCCAGGACACCTTATCTCATGAAAATCAATGGATCTATCAAGAAGCATTTATTTAGTGATTATTAATTAACTGCTTTGTATACCCATTGTTAAGTTCTAGAGTTGCAAAGAAAGGCAAAAAACAGTCCCTGACCTAATGACCTTACATTGTAATTGTTAAGACAATTTATACATAAATAGAGGTATATACTCATTCAACCAATCAACAAGCATTTATTAAATGCTTATCAAGTGCCTGGGGTGTATGAAGTGTTCTGGTGCTAGGGCTTGCTGAGCCCTTTTCAGGGCTGCTCTTCCATCTTTGGTGTCTGCCTATCATCCTACTCTCACTTGTGGCTCCAAGAAGCTGTGGCATGTGCAGTGGCCTCACCCTAGTAAAACTGTCTCAGTAGATGAGCTAAACCAGGTTTAAGGGTAACCAACAGACCTCAAACCCAGCAGCGAGTTAGGGAGATGTTTCCCCCAAGAATGTGAAGACTTTCTCCAATGGAACTGGCAGACGAGAACAATTAATTAGTGGTCATGAAGGTGGCTGAAGCAGGAGCTGTGAAGTGCTTAGAGTTTGGTCAGATGCTGAAGATGCCAAAGTACTCCACTGTATCCTGGGCCATCTCTAGTCATCTTGACTTTTGTCCTGCCACTGGACTTAGATGAGTCTTTTCATGCTTCTCTTGAATCTTGTATTCGAAAATCAAATTTTTTATTCAGCTCTGGTCTTTTCATCAAGAATGCTTGAAAGTCCTCTATTTCGCTGAAAATCCATGTTTTTCCTCTGAAGGATTATATTGATTTGCTGGATAAGTGATTGTTGGTTTTAATCCTAGCTCCTTTGATCTCCGTAATATCACATTCCAATCCCTGTGATCCCCTAATGTAGAAGATGCTAAATCTTATGTTATCCTGATTGTGTTTCCACAATACTTGAATTGTTTCTTTCTGGCTGCTTGCAATATTTTCTCCTTGACCTGGGAACTCTGGAATTTGGCTATAATATTCCTAGGAGTTTTCCTTTTTGGGATCTCTTTCAAAAGGTGATCAGTGGATTCTTTCCATTTCTATTTTACCCTCTGGTTCGAGAACATCAGGGCAGTTTTCCTTGATAATTTCTTGAAAGTTGATGTCTAGGCTCTTTTTTTGATCATGGCTTCCAGGTAGTCCAATAATTTTTAAATTCTCTCTCCCGGATCTATTTTCCAGATCAGTTGTTTTTCCAATGAGATTTTTCGCATTGTCTTCTATTTTTTCATTCTTTGGGTTTTGTTTTATAATTTCTTGACTTCTCATAGAGTCACTAGATTCCATTTGCTCTATTCTAATTATTTTCTTCAGTGAAGCTTTTGGACTTCCTTTTCCATTCGGTCAATTGTGTTTTTTAAGGCATTCTTCTCCTCATTGGCTTTTTGGACCTCCTTTGCCATTTGGGTTAGGCTATTTTTTAAGGTGTTATTTTCTTCAGTATTTTTTGGGGTCTCCTGTGGCAAGCTGTTGACTCATTTTTTTGTGGTTTTCTTCTATCAGTCTCATTTCTCTTCCCAATTTTTCCTCTACTTCTCTTACTTGCTTTTCAAAATCCTTTTTGAGCTCTTCCATTGCCTGAGACCAATTCATATTTTTTTGGAGGCTTTGGATGTAGGAGCTTTGACTTTGTTGTCTTCTTCTGGTTGTATCTTTTGATCTTCTTTGTCACCAAAGTAAGATTCTATAGTCTGAGTTTTTCCTACTGTTTGCTCATGTTCCCAGTCAATTACTTGGCTTTTTAATTCTTCGTTAAGGTAGGGGGGGCTCTGCTTCTAGTATGGAGGGTGTACTGTCCCAAGGTTCAGGAGTTTTGTACAGCTGTTTTCAGAGATACTTCTAGGGACCTGTAAATTTTCAGTTCTTTCAATTTGATATGATCAAAGGAGAGCTGTTTACTCCTTTCCTGGCTTGTGCTCTGGTCTATGAGTGACCACAAGCACTCTTTTCTGCCTTGGAACTGTGAGGAGAATTCTCTCTCTCCACTGCTGCCACAAGCTCTGCTATGTCAGTGCTCCTCCTTGCCCCAGGACCACTACCCAGGACTGCGACCCAGATCCAAGCATGGGCAAAAGCAAGAGAATCCTGCCTCAGTGCCAGCAAAGAGAGATCCCTGCAAACCCTTCCTGATCAGCCACTCTATCCCCCCACCATCTTTAGGCTAACAGCTTCAGAAGCAGCCACCACCTACCTTCGCCCTGAGGCTGTGCCAGGCGTCCAGATTGTGCTCCTCTCTCACCCATGTCTGACAGACCTTTCCAACTGACCTTTTCAGTTGTCTTTGGCATTTGTGGGTTGAGAAGTCTGGAAACTGCCACAGCTGCTAGTGATTCAGTCCCCTGAGTCTGCTCCATGTTTGCTGGATCCCCATCTTTGCCTGCATGGCCCATGCTGTACTGTGTTCCTGTCCCAGCTGGGTGCAAAAGACCTTTCTCGCCGACCATCCAGGTTGTCTTGGGCTGGAAATTTGTTTCACTCTTATCTTTTTGCGGGTTCTGCTGCCCTAGAATTTGTTCAGAGTCATTTTACAGGTATTTGGAGAGGTTTGGGGGACAGCTCAAGCAAGTCCCTGCTTTTACTCTGCCATCTTGGCTCTGCCCCCCTGAGAGATTTCTAAGATAAAAATTATTAGCCGACTAGATAAAACATCAATTGCTGTGTGAGACCCTTACATTACAAAGTTATAAATGCTGCCCGGAAACAATTAGATACAAAGTCAATCTGACACTATTAGCAGTAAGTGGAATTAAATCTTTATCTTCTATCTTTAATTAGAAGGCTATGATTCATAAAAAGAACCAGGAGAAATGTCTTATTTTTATCATCATCTTCTACCAAAGCTAAAAAAAATTAGACACAGAAGAATACACATTTAAAATTGTGCTACTCAAGTATGCAAGTAAAGGGTTCAGCTGGTTACTTAAAGCCTGAAAATATTTTCTCATAGAAACAACATGATAAATGGTTAAGTTCCCAGGTAAATGAGCACAAGAAACCCTTTTTAACTCATAATATAACTGAAGTATTATAATATGGCAATAATGATGAATAACAACAACAGTAGCAACAGCAACATTAAATATAATGATCAAATGAGATAACATTTGTAAAGTGCTTAGTACAGTATCTGCCACATAGCAGGTGTTATATAAATGTTTCTTTCCCTTCCCTTCTCTCTTTCCCTTCCACTGCCTTATGGCCCACGATGACTGATAATCACAAAATGCATAACATTCTTGTTGTCCTGTCTGCTACTGGAGTTGTAGCAGTGTAACTCCAGTGCGTTACAGAGGATGAGTACCCTAATGCTTTTATTCACCTGTAAAATAATCCATAAAACATTAATTATAAAAAAATAATTTCAAGACAGTGGCTTGGCCCAGGATTGATTCTATCTGGAATCCATAAAAAATATGAGAATAACATAATAATAATAATATGAGATAATGTATGCAAAGTGTTTTGCAAATCTTAAAGCACTATGTAAATGTTATTATCAGAAGTGATTCAACTGTATCTTTTCTGCTGTTTTCTTTCTCCTATACTAATTCCTTAGCCAAAATTCTTCCTTATTATGTGGTCCATTTCTACTTCTCTCCATTCTTACCTCTCTTTTATTTCTAGTCATAATGGTTTCCATTAGAAAACTCATTCTGAGCTTTAAAACATATTCCCTTAATGTTCATAGAAGTAGAAATAAAAGTTCTGGCTATAGTTACATGAGTGACTCCTTAATATTTGCATTATAAAATGTATCCTTTTATACATGAGCACAAGAAAAAATAACCATTTAGGTAAATCTAAGGGATGTTGACATTTTAGTTAAAGGTAAATATTTTTATTTTGTACTATATGTATGTACATATATACAGATATATATGTATAACATATAATATGTAATGGTGGTAGATAAATATACTTTAGTCCCACTGATTCATATGCACAAATTCCCCATAAGTCAAAAACTGCCCATATTTTTCTTTTTCAAATGTATAGCAACCATATCATTTATACCTTATGACAATTTTTGAATACCCTTAATTTAGACAGTGATAAAACCTTATTTATTTTCTCTTCTGAAAGATGACTCATTCCTGAATTTTGAAGTTCTCGCCTTCACATTTTTTGTATATCATGTCATCATTTTTATTTAATTTGTTCTCCCATATATGTATATAAAGACAAATAAACAATAAAAAATAAATAAGTCAACAAAATTAATAGTTCACAAAAAACTACGTATCTATGCCATACCCAATAATCGGATAAGCATGAATTGTACGCCCAGGGCAAGAGAATGCTGTCTGTCAAATACACACCTGTAAGCAAATAATAATTACACAATCAATAATAGTTACAGTGAATACACATTAGGTCCAAGGCTACTTTACTGATTGTTTAGACTACTTTTGTCACCAAATAATCAGTTTAGGTACTCCATGAACTATAGAAGAGCAAAAATGCCCCAAACAGTAGTATTTTGCTCACATTAGCAAGTTTAGTAGCCTCGCTGGTCCCCACCCATTCCTGAGCCCCTCATTTCAACCCTACCACCTCCTTCTCCAGTACTCCTATCCTCATGGCCAGGAATACATAACCCATACCTTTAGGGTGAATTTGTCCCCAAGTTCTAGGATTTATAATTATAGAACAGTGGGAAAGTATTCCATATTGGACTAGAATTATTTTTTTTTTCTTGGCAGGCGAGAAATAAGCATACCTAAATCTGTACCTGAACAGCTGCATTTCAAATCAGCCCAATTCTGCTGACCTGTACAGCATTTCTAGTAATCAAGTCCCTGTCTTGTTCTCTTTATGATTAAAATCCTGCCTTAGTTCAGTACCAAGTAAGCTAACTCCTTGGGTGGTCTCAAATCCTGCTCCTCTAGCGACTCTCTACTTCCTGCTGCCTGACTGCTTCCTTGGCAGGTGTGCTCAACATGCAAACTATTGCTCCCATGCCATGGGAGCTGGATATAAGATCTACAGCAAAAAACATTAGAGGAATTAAGTCTAGTCTATGGCCCTAGAAAAGGAACAGAATAAGTTAAAAACAACAACAACAACTATTTATGGAGGGGAGCAGAAGGGGTAGGCATTGAATAGCACTATATAGTAACAGGATAAATGCAATAGGAAATCCAGTCACTAGAGAATTTGGGCAAAAAAAGTAACTGATGGAAAAACAAAAATTCTTTAAATTGAATCTTATATGACATGTTTTCTAGCCTCTTCACCATGCTGGTCATCTTTTGGGCACATTCCTCCTTGCCACTTTTGATTCTTAAATATGGCATCCAGACCCCAGTACACAATTCCAGGGTAGAGGACTACCAGCACCTAAATCCCAGAAACTATAACTCTCTCAATCTCAATGCAGCCTGGGATGGTGTGACTCCCAGATCCCTCTCTCTCTCCTTCTCTATCTCTATAAAGATATCTGTTTATATCCATAAAGATAGATAGGTATCTAACTCACCTTATATATTCCCCTATATACATCCAGTTCAAAATCACCATTTCCACCTGAATGTCCCATAGGTAGGTTAATCTCAACACATTTGAGAGAACTCATTTTTCTTACCCCCAAACTCATCCCTTTCCCTAACTGTTCTACTTCTGTTAATAGCACTGTCATTCTTTTAGTTAACCTAGGTTCACAACCACTTCTCACTTTCCCTGATCCCTTATATCCTATTATTTGCAAGGTTTTGCAGATTCTGTGACCATCATCTTTCACATCTGTCTCCTTCTTACAAGAATGTCATTCCAGTTCATGTCAACTGGGCTAAGTGTACCTTCTCAGAATATCATGTATATATATGTATATGTGTATGTGTGTGTGTGTGTGTGTGTGTGTGTGTATATATATATATACACACACACACACACACACATATGTATGTATGTATGTATGTATCCTTGATATACTCTACGATTCAGTCAAATTGGCCTGCTTATTGCTACTTTCACACAACATTTCATCTCCTGCATCTATGCCTTTGGACAGGCTGTCCCCTAAGCCTGGAACGTCTTGCTTCTTCACCTCCACTTCCTAGCTTCCTTCAAGGCTCAGCTCAATGACTGCTTCCTTTCCTGATCCCCACTGCTGCTAGTGCCTATTCTTCTATCCCCGAACTCCCATAAATTACCTTATATTTACCTTTTTATATACTTATAATTATTTATTGTTGATACAAATGTTTGTTGTTTTCCCTAGAAAAATTTAAGTCCCTTAAAGTCAGAGACTAATTAATTTTTGTCTTTGCATCTGCAGTACATAGTACAGTACCTTGCACATAACAGGTGTTGAATAAATGTTTGTTGGTTGATTAACATTCCTATGTCTGGAATGTTCTTCCATTTCACCTTTTCCTCTTAAAATTCCTGGCTTTCTTCAAAACTCAGTTCAAACGCCTCCATCTGCAGGAGGGCTTCCCCACTGAAGCTACCTTCCATCTACTCTGTATGTATCTTGTACATATTTATCAGGTAAGGTCCTTGAAGGCAGGGATTATTTTTCTTTTTCTTTCTCTTCCCATTGTTTAGCATGGTCCCTGGCACACAGTATGCCTTTAATGTTTGTTGATTGAATGATTAGCTTCCATACCCATAATTGATTCATAATGAACTTGTAGTATACTAAATCCTCAAGTTCTTCTTCAGCTAATTTTTTTTTTTTGCCACAACTTTCCCATCTCGCACTTGTGAACTTGGTTTTCTAAGTTTTCTTTTGTAACTAATGATTTAATTTTAGGCCAGTGTTCTGGTTGTCAAGATCTTTTCTGTCATCCCCCATGTTATCTATCTTACCTAACTTAGTGCCATCTGGAAATTTGACAAATATGCCATCTGTGCCTTTAATCAAATAATTGATAAAAAAAAAAATTACATAGAAGAGAGCAAGTCACTCCCCAATGCTTATATAATAAAATATGCATTTCTTTAGTCTAGGATTTAAGACATTCAGTTATGGCTCCAACCTACCCTTTCTAATGTATTTCACTACACTCCCTTATACACCCTATATTCTGGCCAAACTGAACTAGTAGCAGTTGTCCTCTCTCATCTTGACCCCTTCTGCCTTGATTTATTTTCACCTGCCAGCCCCTCCCCAAAGACCACCCCCTCCACCTCCTTCCCCACCCCTACCTCCATACCAAGACTCCTTCATTTCTGCTTATTGAAATTCTTCTTCTCCTTCAAGGCCCAGTTCAAATGCTACTTGATCCAGAAGTATTCCCTCACAATTTCCCTCCCTTCTCACACCAACTGAAAACAACAACAACCACCACAACAGCTGGCATTTAAATAGTGACTACGGGGTGCCAGGCACTATGCTAAGCATTTTACAATCACAAATATTACTTCATTGGATACAGCAGCCTTGGGAGGTAGGTGCTATTATTACCTCTGTTTTATAGATGAGGAAACTGAAACAGATAGAAGTTAAGTGATATGGTCACACCGCTACTAAGTCTTCCAGGCCACATTTGAACCCTGGTCCTCCTGCCTCCTCTACCCACTGCGCCACCTACTGGTGGAAGCTTTCTCTTCTTTAAATTTCCTCAAATTTTTATGACATTTTATCTAGACCTCTGCTTTGTTTTTAACACACTTCACTTTGTATTATTTTTAAATATTTAAAGTTTAAATCATTTTATTACCCCTTTAAAAATCTGTTTAACAATTCTCTCATTATTAATATCAAGATATAAAACAGAGATACATGCTCTGTCAAAAGCCCTTTTCCACAGAAAAGAAGGGTGTTTGGCACAGAGTCCAGATGGAAGTAGACAGTACCTACAGATGACAAGGTCCTCCAGATGACAGTGTACTCATTTCAACAAAAGCAACATCACAGAACCTCTAAAATGAGACTGATTCACAATTACTCAAAAGAGCTTGGCATCAATATATCTACACAGGAAAAGCCAAGTGGATAAAGAATGTCTATTATTCTGATTATGATATAAAGCTGGCTATAGAGCTAATAGAGCTAGCTCATAAGTGCTTATATTTACTTACATACACAATATATATGTAAATGCATGCATATACACACATGGGTACATATGCAAATGCAAACATTTTTTCTTACATCATTAGTTTTCTGGTGATGCTACATTGCATCAAATCATGGAATACCATAATCTCTAAAAAATAAAAACTGCTGGTCACCCAAAAGGAAACGGAGAGATCTACTGTGGATATAAATAGGATGCAGCACATTACTATCAATAAATTGTGTGCAAGAAGCAGTTGTAAAAGGTTCCATCAAACAGACGTATGGCTGGAAGAAGCAATGGGTCAGTAATGTAGTAAGAGTGACTGCCACACTGATACTTATTTAATATTAGGAGATCTAAAAGAAGGAACCTAGCATTTTGAACAAACTCCCACTTGAAGAATTTAGAAAGACAGGGACAACAGTCATGGGATAAGAAGGTGTGGATGGGTTGCTCACTTAAGTATTTAAGTATACCCAAATGCTTAACATAGCCTCTGGCATAAATCAGGTACTTTATAAAGTCTTTTAAATTGCATCAAAATAAAATTTTATTATATTTGCTAATTTGTGGTTTGTTTTCAACCAATGTGAGTAAGAAGCAATTAAAATATGCTGTTGTGTTTTTCATGATTGGAAACAACTATAAAGCAGCTTTTGGGTTTTGTACCTTGTTCTAAAATATAGAAAGGACTGATGATTCAAGATTTTTTAATCTACTTAAATATAATGAATATTTCTTATAAATGAATTTAGGCCAGAACATGTAACGATTACAAAGGAAATGCATACCTGAGGATGGCCACAGTAACTGGAGTACCAGCCATAAAAGTAAACACAACCGTAGCAAAGAAAAAGGCAAAGAATATGGGTAAATTCTTGCATCGTGATTCACATTTCCCAGATTGAGCATCTATGACATCACCTTCCACAGTTGATAGTAGTCGTTTTTTCTGTCCCACACAGGAACAGTTATAATACACCTATGAACATTACAATGTAAAACAGAGTTTTTATGAACATGACTGTCATACAAAATTATGCACGAAAATAACAGTAAATTTAAATGAATAACTACATAGGAACTAGACTATTTTTATCTGTAGGAAACACCTTCAAATTTAGTCCATCAAAATTTAGAAAAGCATTCTGGATTCTCTCTTCCTTTAAAGAACACATCTTTACTATATCAGATATGGTTGCTTTAGCTAAATGTTTTTAATTCAAAAAAATTTCCCTTTCAAATATTTCATTTCCATTCAGGAGAAATTTACTGAACACCTAATAAGTACTACAAAAGGAAGAAAAGAAAATAAGCAACAGCTTTTTTTTATCTCAAAAAGGAGAATCATCTAACTTGAAACAGGTTTCACGTTGAAAAGTTATGCAAGATAAATGAGATGGAAAAATTGTCACCAACATTCAAAAATAAAAAGAAAAAAGTTCAGAAAAATTACCAAATTCACCAATTGCGTTTGAAAGTATATGAACTATTTTATACCCACAGTCTCTCCTCTGCAAAGAGAGGAGAAAAATGAATTTTCTCAATTTTTCTGAATGGCTGTGCTTAATTGTGTCTCAATTACAGAGTGTCCAATTTCATTTTTTTTTGTACTTTCTGATTATATTCTTGCCAATATGCATACTGTTCTCCTGGTTCTGCTTATCCTCTCTCTAGAATGAGAATTCTTCATATGCATTATTTCTGACAACATGTTCTATTACCTTCCCTAACCATAATTTGTTTAGCCATTTCCCAATCAATAGACACCTACTTTGTTTCTAGGATGCTTTGTATAATCTTTTGAACTGATTTTTTTCCCCTTTTCTTTGACTTCACTGACTGGTATTTCTGGGTTAAAAGGTAACATAAATAAACATTTCAGCTACTTTTAAAAGCATAATTTTAAATTGCCTTCAAGAATGAATAGATCAATTTATAGCTTCACTAAAAGTGTATTAATGTGGCTATCTTTCTGTAGCCTCCCTAACACTGATTACTTCCATCTTTTGTCAGCTTTGACAATTTGTGGGATAAAATTTCAGAGTTCTTTTGATTGGGATTTATCTTATTAGTGATTTGGAACAATCTTTCATTTGGTTGTTAATAATTTGCAAGAACTTTTGAGATTGTTCACACCCATTGAATGGGATGTCCCAGTGAAGACTTCTCAGTGTAATTAAGGTAATGAGTTCAGAAGGTAGGATAGGGTTAAGTATAGATTTCTGTAAGTTTTTTTTAGTGCCATATAACAGCAGTTAAAATTTGTCTAGTTGTTAAGCCTTGGCCTGCCTTCTGATCTTATCCAGATTCGCCTTTTGTCCCAAGCCCCAGAAAACCCTTAAATTTTCAAGTCCCCTTATCTCCCTTTGACAGGACCTTACTTAGATGACTTTCAATTCCCTTCGTTGTCTGTTCAATCTCTCAGACCTTCCAAAACAATTGCAAACTATCTTTTATGGTAGCCTGGTTCCTCAGTACAAAGTTTAACTTAACTGCACATTTTTAATTGCTTCTTTGACATTATCTCAACAAACTAAGAAATATAGAGATGTATACTATGCCCTTTGTCCTTTGTTAGAGTCTCGCATGTAAAACTGTAAGCCAGTTAGCGGACAGCTAAGGGGAGGGGGAATGTAGGCTATTTAAACTGACTTCTGTTACTGTGTCTGTGTCTCCCTTCATCAGATCCCACTGGTGTGGGGACACCCAAATCTCGAGATTTGAAATAATAATAATCATAATTATAGCAATAATAATTAACTTTCTGTTTCTCCTTGGACACCCCTGTGTTTTGTTTTATTTTTAATTTGAGTGGCATCCCACACTCCATTGACCACTTACCTATTCAAGAATGGCTCTTGATCTTATATGTTTGTATCAGTTCCCTACATATCTTTAGTATCAGACCATTATCAAAAATATCTGATGATAAGTTTTAGTCCCCTATTTGACACATTTACTCCTCATTCTAACTATATTGGTTTTGTTCATGTAAATCTTTTTAATTTAATGTAATCTAAATTATTTATTTTATCTTTTATGATCACATCTACCCTTTTTTGATTAAAATTTTTCTTCCTGGCCAAATTTGTGAAAATTACTTTATCTCACTGGCTTCCATTTTTTCCATATTCAGGTCACATATCTATTTTAAGTATATTATGGCATGTGATTTTAAGATATTCTTCTAAATCAGGAGCTCTCTACCTGGGGTCTATAGACACCAAAAGAATCTGTGGATAGGTTTGGGTGGGGAGAGAGGGAATCTATGACTTGGATGGATCTTTATGTACATCTTTATTTTCACTAACATCTAAATGAAATTTAGGATTTTCTTCAATTTATGTATTTCTAAAAAGAGTCAGACATGACTTAAATGACTAAACAACAAAGTAAAATCAATAAATGTAAGTTAGGCTATTTTTTTTTCTTTTAAAGAGACTGAGACCATCCTCAAGACTTGGTTGTCTCGGGAGACTAAAGGTTAAGGCTGCTGATATAATTTCCTAGTGGCCTGAATACAAAGTAGCCCCGAGACGCTTCAGGAGCATTCCCTGATGCTTGGCTAGTGGAAAACGATGGGCAAAATGAGCAAAGTAGCTGCATCTGGCTGAAGAAACTTGAGGTGCCTTCAATGACCACCCTTGCTGAGTATCCTTCTCCTGTTATGGCCAAGTAAGTCTCCTTTTGTTAACTACTGAATGAGCAAGGAATGATTCATTTCAATGCAATATCAAAACTGAAATAATACAGTGCTGGGCTGTCAACACCACAATAGCATTCAGGGGTGTGCTAGAGTCAGCTTGAAATGACCCACGAGAGCAGACTTAAATTTTCAGTATGAGTATCTGTACCTCAGAAACCAACAAATGCTACAAATTAAGGCTTGATTTATTGTGTGACAGATTATCTAGAACTAAGAAAGTAATGGGGAAATGTTAGTAATGTAGATTAAACTTAAAGGTGTATTGTTTGTATATATTTTTCTGGACAGCTATCTAACAGTTGCCAGAATACCCCTCGGTGTAGCTGTGTAGGAATGAAAGATAATGAGTTCATTCTGCTTCTGGAATTGCTTTTGGGGATGCCTCTCAAAGATGGTGGTTGCTTAATTTGAGATGCTCCCCACTCCTAGGGGATTAGAAGGTAAACTACTTGTGGCTACTCAAAAAGGGGAGACTGAAATGAGTATGTTCTGTGACCTTAAGAAACGTCCCTTGAAGACAATGACAATAAATGTTTAGTCCCTCCAGATGTGGTGTCCCACTGGGGGAATCTCTTCAGAGCACAGTTTACATTCAAAACAGCTTGGAAATCTTTAATTTAGGGGATAAAAAGAGATTTTATCCTTGCTAGAAATGTACAAATTCAGAAGAATAAATTTACATTCTGTCCTTGCTGGTACTAGATGCCTTTGTATGTCTAATGGTCATCATAACCCAGTTGCTTTTACAAAGGCCTCCTAAAAATAAAAATGCCCCTCTCAAGTTTTAAGGAGTCATATTTGTATGAAATGGGGAAGTAATTGTTTGGGTTTGAAAGTTTTTGAAATAACAATATAACTAACTGAACTAGCAGTATTCAGTCTTATGATTGCATATGAACCTAGCAAGCTGAGGGATGGCATGAAGGATCTCAATAGTGAGAGAATGGAAATAAAAGATTTTAAGGATTGTCTAACAACTCTTCTGAAGAAATTGTATGAGGCTTTTTTTTTGTCATTTGAGGGGCTAACTGAAATATTTCTACATAAACATTATCATAATTTTTTGATTCAAGACATTGGGAAAGAGCTTTAAAGGCCGATGCTTAATTCTCTCTAGATGCTTAAAGACTTATCTGAAATTGGGGATATGGACAAATGTGTCAACTGTATCCTTGCCTACTTACTGAGGATAGGCAGTGATGCCATATCAGCTAAAAAATATTTCCTCTCAACCCAGGTCCATAAGCAACAAGATGGAGGACAAGATATTTTCTCTGATCCTCCTCACCTCTCAAATCTCTCCAAAACAGAAATTACATGCAAAAGATAAAGCAATTTCAACTATCTCCATGGTCTAGGACATCCAGAATCCAAAAGAAGACAGACACACACACACACACACACACACACACACACACACACACACACACACACACCCCATGAACTGATGCTCACTGACCTTGAGTTCACTCAAGCACTACTACAAGGAACCAACACAGGCTTACGACAGGATGTGTAGAGACAACCTAAAGATCGTAGGTCTCCCAGAAGAATGTGACAGGACAAAAAAAATCTTAACACCATAATGCAGGAAATACTAGAAGAGAATTGCCCAGAACTTCTGAACATAAATATAATACCAACTGAAAAAATTCACAGATCACCTCCAGGAAAAACAAACAAAAAACTCCCAAGGCTGACAACTAACAAGACCCATAGTAGTTAAATTTAACAAGTCAATTCAGAAACAAGTTCTGCAGGAGACCTTCAAATACAAAGAAAAATTCAAATAAAGTAAGACTATTTTGCACCTAGAATACGTAGAAGGGAATAGCATAATGTGTTCCAGAGAGCAACAGAGCTCAGGGTACAGCCCAGCGTGGCCTACCCTGTAAATCTGAGCTTAACTATACTAATAAACAACACCTCAAAGACAAAGTAGAAACAAGCAACAGGAGGGGATCAGGAGTGACAGGAAAAAAACTAGCAGAAACAGGGCTACTTTAAAAAAGATCAAGGTAAAGTGACTGAAGCTCTGGTTTTATAGCAGAAGAGGGAAAAAAAATCATACCTTGGAAAAAAACCCCAATATAAGAGACTGATGAAGGAAAATACAATTTTATTTTTAAAATTAATTTATTTCTAGTTTTCAACATTCACTTCCACAAGATTTTAAGTTCCAAATTTTCTCCCCATCTCTCATCCCCACCCCAAGATAGTGTGCATTCTGATTACCCCTTGCCCCAATCTGTCCTCCCTTCTAACACCTCCCC